TTTTTTTTTTTTTTTTTTTTTTTTTTTTTTGAAAATAAATGTGGAACAGTTGATATCTTATAAATTTTCAAATTATGTACTCTTACAAATGGTGGAAGTGAAAAGGTTCCTTTCTAGCGTTTCGCTAAGTTTTTTTTTTTTTTTTTTTTTTTTATTATTTCCCCGATCGGTTCAGTTCAGTTCGGTTTATTTCACTTCAGTTAACGTCATTGTAGTCCATTTTTTTTTTTTTTTTTTTTTTACAATTGAGACGTCTCTACATATTTAGAAACGGAGTACACTGCTTCAGAGGCGCGTGTAGGTGCGGCTCGTCTGTTCCATGGGTGTGTTATTGTTCCCCCGCTGGCATATATTATATATGGCGCACAATTGTGTACACGCGGGGTGAGGGAAAAAAGGTGACTGCAAAACGGCACCAACGGGGGGACGCGCTTTTTTTTTTTTTTAACGTAGGGTGACGATTCTTGACTGATTTGATGATTGGCTAATTTTTTTTTTTTTTTTTTTTTTTTTTTTTTTTCTTACCCTTTTTTTCTGTTCCAAAGGAGGAAAGCGCCTAACGCTGCGGTACATTTCGCTGACCACACAAAGAGGCACACGATAGAAACGCAGATGTGTAGGACCTTTTTTCCTTGCCAAAGGAAATGCATTCGCGTATGCTCTCTTTCCCCGGGGCACCCCTGTTTTTGTTTATTCGTAATGGTAACCTTAATCTGAACGAGTGCAAGCTTGGCTCATTTTTTTTTTTTTTTTTTTAACTGACTGGAGCGTGCGAAGGGAGGCAGGAAGCATAATAATGGGAGTAGCTGCAGGTGTGCACGGGACGCGACGTGACATGAAGATATGCAACGGAACAGGTGGGAAGAAGTATCGGACAGAAATTTAATTGGGCTAAGAAGCGAAAGCGGTAGAGGACGTGGAAGGGGACAGGTTTAAAAGGAGAGACACCCTACAGACGATCATTTTTATTACATCACCAGTGGCTTGGGCTAAGCGGACGTAGTGTATATATAGCATTCAACAAAAGCACACACACCGTCTAAGGCGTCACGCGTGCATACACACTGGTGTGACGCAGTCCCCTCACGTGACACAAAGACATACACCGCGCTGAGAGACATACGACGCGAGGAAGCCACCTGTCCCTACACATGCCACATGCACCAACATATAATGGGTAATTCTGTGGCGTCCTTTTTCCGAGATTGCTGCGACAAGTTTTTGCGTAAACAAATAATATTTCACATTAGAATTTGTGGCCCAGCGCAAAGTGGAAAAACCACTCTGGTGAAGTACCTCCTGCACAGCCGATTTTTGAAGGTCAAGCCGACGGAAGGTGGGTGTGCTACGTGAGCGGCCTGCCTCTAAACGCGGCGTGGAGAAGTGAAAGCGGGGTCTTCTTTCACCCATTTATAGCGACTGCTTTGTGGACGCATAGCCCAGGATTGCCTCCCACCTATTATATGTGTACAGATTCGATGGCACTTTGGAAATTTTCCCTTCCACCCCTTTTTTTCTTTTCCTAGGCCTGGTGCCGGAAAAAATCGACTTTGAAGAATTCTCAGTCATCATATGGGATTCCCGTTACAGCATAGATGACGACGTAACTCGAAAAAAGAACAAATAATAAATAAATTAAAGCAAAAAAAAGGAGTGAATAAATGTGACACTCGTTTTAGCGGATATGATGCAGGCGAATGGCATTCTGTCGCGATTAGCACGATGATTGCTTGTGTGTGGGTGTCCACCCGAGTTGTTTTTTCCTTCCACAGCTACACAATTCTGAGTTAAACAATATACACCCTTTTTTTTTTTTTTTCTTCACCGAGCAGGCGTCCATTAACAGGCTAGACATTGACGCGGTCATTTACTGCTTCGACCTCTCCGATCATGGCAGGTTAAAGATAGGTAAAGCCACAAAAGAAAAATGAGTGAAAAATGGAAAATATATATATATATATATATGTATAAATGCGCACGGGAGAAGACACCCACTGAGAGGTATCACTGCTGCTCGAGCCGCCCCTCACGTTACCCTCCACCTTTGCAGCGAAAAAAGGATTCTACAAGGTACTTCATGACTACAACCACGTTGATGATTTCCTCGTCGTGGCAAGCAAGCAGGACAGGAAGAGCTGCATGCTGCTGCAGCATGTCAGGAGTGAGCTCAAGATTGATCACATCGTTGATAGGAACTGGTAAAAAAAAAAATATACAAAAAAAAAATATATATATAAATAAATAAACAAATAAATATGTAAAAGAGGGCCTTGCGGGAGGGGTCATCCCCTGGGAATACATATATTGCCAACCCTACTTGTCACCCCCGTGCACATAATTATTTCATCTTTTCTCCCCCTTCCTGTGAACAGCCACTTAGCAGAATGCTCCTCCAAAACTGGACACGGCGTGGAGCCCGCGATGAACTGGCTCTTCAATCAGCTAATGAATCGCCGCAAACGAAATTTGTGTTTCATAAAATAAATATACTTTAGTCTGTTATCTCCCGCTTGGAGGCAGCGCTATTACCAACAGGGGCTGCTCATCTGCCCCGCACATCATCACACCTTGCAAGTAGCAACGCCCAATGTGCACCCACCCCGCCTCTATGCTGTCCCTTTTTTTTTTTTTTTTGCGTAATCATTTATTGCACCTACACTCATTTGAATCTGATCAACATTGCTAACAAAATTTTCTCTTATTCATTTTGGTAAAAATTGTCTCCCCCAAAAAAAAAGCCAAATAAAAGTGTAACCAACACGGGGAGGCAATTTTCCCTTATGCACACGACGTAGCTACCTCTATTTAAGGGACAAGGGGGGAAATTTCGCTCCTAGAACCTGCACGAGTGGTATTCCCTGCACGTTTTACACTCTGGTGTATGAGCCTTTGTCAACCACACATTCGAACCGCATTGCCTACTCTCCGTACGTTCCATTTTTATGAAAAAAATAATTTCATACATCCTGTCGTTTGCACCGTTCAGGCTGCTTGGCAGCTGTGTGAATAGTGTTAATGAAAAAAAAAAAAAAAAAAAAAAAAAAA